AGCTGGCTGAGGAATTCTGGGAGTTGAAGTCCACAAGTCTTAAAGTTGCCAAGGTTGGACACCCCTGATCTTGGCATTTAAGGAATGCCTTGTTTTCCCCCACTCACTTTTTCTGGCAGCTAAAAAGACCAAAGGAGTATCCTTTTAGTTGACATCACATTCTCCAGGGAGACACATCCATAGCCCAGAGTCATCAATCATGTTCTCCAGTTAGAAATTTGCACAGCAGAAACTTCAGTCACCTAGTTACTATCTTTGAAAAACTACTTATGGAATGCATTTTCGGTGTCCAAGCTGCCGCACTTGCGCTTTCAAACCCCTTTCCCCCCACCGTTTCTGAGAGTGCGCTTTACGCACGTGCTAAAAGGGCTCAACACCACCCTCTGTATCAACGCTGTGCTGTTTTTTTTAGCTCAGCGGAGGCACGGCAATCCACTCTGCCCCGCGAGTCAGCTGAACTAAAAAAAAATCAAGAGAATATAGAAGATGGAATAATGGGGGTAGATGGGTGGGGCCAACCAGAGGTGGTATTTGCCAGTTCTCCAAACTACTCAAAATTTCCGCTACCGGTACACCAGAACCGGTCCGAATGGGCTAAATACCACCTCTACGATTAGTTCCAACTGCAGAATTTTTGAACATCGCTCAACTTCCCAATCTCTGTTGCTTTTTCCACCTCAATATGGTTCACACGTGCTCCGCTTCCTAACTCAACAATTTTTTCTACATTTCTTCTTCCCCTTTGGATCCTCCTTTAGAATGATAGGAAGCACAGATGTGGTCAGAGCGGTAAAATCGTTCCTTTTCCTAAAGCTACAGTTCTCTATAGGTAGTCCTCGGTTTATGACCCGTTGCTTAGCCACTGTTCGAAGTTACGACAGTCCGGTGGGTACGTATCCAATTCAGCCCATCCCTCCCTCTCTGTAATCCCACCCTATCACCGTCTCTATGGTTCCACGCCCCTGCCGTCGGCTGTGCTGGTACCTGGTGACCGTGAATCCTTTTCCCAGGAGAATGAGCATCAGAAGGAAGATCAGAAAACTGACAGAAAAAAGGAGCTTGGCTGGAATTGGGGAGAGAAAAAAAGGAGATAAGTATGTGAACCTAAGGCAGTAAAAGATTTAAAATAGTCTTCATAAGGATGGGCTGAGGCACAACACCGCTCCATAAAACTTAATATGGTCGATTGCATCTTATCTGTGCAGAAGTGTCATAAAGAGAATTAGGGGACTGGAAGCTAAAACATCATAAAGAACAGTTGCAGGAACTGGGTATGTCTAGTCTGATGAAAAGAAGGACTGGGGGAGACAGGATAGCAGCGTTCCAATATCTCAGGGGCTGCCCCAAAGATGAGGAAGTCAAGCTATTCTCCAAAGCACCTGAGGGCTGGACAAGAAGCAACGGGTGGAAACTAATCAAGGAGAGAAGCAACTTAGAACTAAGGAGGAATTTCCTGACAGTGAATTAATAAGTGGAACAACATCCTTCCAGAAGTTGTAAATGCTCCAACACTGGAAGTTTTTAAGAAGAGGTTGGATAACAATTTGTATGAAATGGGATAGGGTTTCCTGCCTGAATAGGGGGGTGGACTAGAAGATCTCCAAGGTCCCTTCTAACTCTGCTATTCTGTTCTAGTCTCTACTCTATCTAACTTAGGTCTCTCCAGATACGGTGGATGACAACTTCCATCCTCCTCCACCTCATATCGCCAAAGTTCCAACAGTTTTAGCGAGTGAAGAAGGCTGAAAGCTGAACAAGCAAAATGTAAGTTTCTGCAGCTTCCATAGATATGGACTTCAGTTCCCATAATCCCCTAACCAGAACCTCTATGGCTGAAAATTCTGAGAGCCGAGAGTTCCACTTATCTGGAAACAGGGACCCTACACTAAACGATACTGGAGTTCTCTAAGTTTCAAACTGTAACTTTTCAACCCGAGATATCGGAAATTGTAGGTGGGGCCAAGAATGGAACCTGGCCCATTCCCATGAAGTGGAGCCCACAAGGTTTTCCGTGGTCTGATCAATGCGATAAATTCCTGACACAGCTGGCTTGGTTCACTTACACTTCCCCAAGAACAAAGAAACCAAGTCCCAGATCCAGATGAGGTGTCAACATAGACATTATGGCTTGTTCATCATAGTTGATGGTTTCATGTTATGTGTGAAACCAGTGACTGTGGCGGTTCCACAAATCATGGCTTAATGGGAATCCATCCGGTAAATGGGAAAGCCCATCCCTGATAACCTACCCAAGATCTTCAGACTGTCGTTTCCAATCCCGTCACTTGCATACTGGCCCCAGTATATGCAGAAGAACATCAGGCTGAGCACTGGAGAAGAAAATAGGAAACACATAACATGCATGTAACTGTTGTGGTTTGCCGGCAGCAGGTGCGGACAGCTGAGGTCTCTGAGAGCGAGGACTCAGGCGTGGGGCCTGCGTGTGATGCAGGGATGGGGCCAGGACTATTGCAGAGTAGGGTGCTGTCTTCAGAGGTCGTGGAGTCTGGCAGCAGTGACAAAGAGGACCCCGGGGAGCCTGTTCTCAGTGCGTGTGCGCGCACGGCTGCTCAAAAGAAAGAGCAGATGAAGCAGCATGGGCAACTCAGAGTAAGGCTGGAAAGTGATGGTCTCTCCCATAAGGGATAAAAGCCAGCCTTCGGGGTTGGCTTCTTTGCAGGAAGCAAAGAAGTTTCTTTCTACTTAGAGTCCTTGTTGAAGCCTTGCTAACTCCGGTTTGTTTTTGGAAACTTCTGGCTTGGGATATTTATCTGCAATTAGCCTTTCGCAACCTTGAAAGGGCTTGCTCTTATTCGGGAGAATTAGTTTTGAATGACTCTTGGCTGTGAATGCACAGAATTCACAGCGCCACATTAAAAAGGTTTGCTTTTATACATGCTTTGTGTTTGTTTGATTTGAACAAGGCTTGGGTCAGAACAGTAACATATAATAATGACATGGGGGGGATTTGTAGAAAAGTAAGCAGAGTTGGGGGGCAGAGTTAAACAAGTCATTGGTTGAAAATCAATGCATTCCTACAAAAGTCTGCATCCAACCCCTCTTGAATTCTATTGACCCTTATCTGGTGCCAATTTACTGTTGAACTGTGATTGATTAGATTCCTGTGCCTAGACTTGAGCAATAAATATCCTGAATTGTAACTTAATGCATGGTCTTGATTCTTTGCACCTGGCAGATTTCAGTCACTGCTCTTTCCTTAGTTTTGGCATCTCTCTTCTTTCTATTATTGGATCTTAAATGACAACCCTCATATTTTCTAATTTCTTCCGCTACCACCTGTCTCCACCTGCCCTTTCCCAAAACAATTCCGGGAATCGCAGAACTGCCGTTATTTATACAGCTACCAATGTGAATATTTAGATGCAATCTGTTCCTTACCATCTGTTACAGAAAATGCAGCTATTCTTTTTTAAAGTGGAAGATGCAGACGCAAAATCACAGGAATGCAGGTCAGCTCAAAGGAAAATACTTTATCTTCTAAATCCAAGCCTATACTACAGGTGGAAATAATTTTAATAGGAATTCCCTTTCCCTTAAGCAAAGTCACCCAGTTGACTTTCACGGCTAAGATGGGACTAGAACTCACCATCTCCTGGTGATCGGCCCAAAATAACCCAGCTGCTTTCATACCTAAGGCGGAACTAGAACTCACCATTTCCTGGCAATTCACCCAAAGTAAACCAGCTACTTTTCATGTCTGAGGCAGGACTAGAACTCACGAACTCCTGGTGATTGAGCCAAAGTCATCCAGCCAGCTTTTTGTGCCTAAGTCAGGACTAGAACTCACGGTTTCCCGCTTTCTAGACAGGAACCTTAACCACTAGACCACACTGGCTCCCTGGTTTTCCTCAAACTTACCTTCTACTCCAGCTGCTGTCATGAACATTTTGTATGTGGTGTGCAAAAGTTGGCGGCCTTTCAACAGATCTGGGAAAAAAGCAAAGCCAAAGGAAAAATCATTATTACAATTCAGCGTGTCTGCCACCGATTCCACAATCTTACCAGTGTAGCACCACCCCTGCAATCCAGGTGCTTGGCAACTGGCTCCTCTTTACGACGGATTGCAGTGTCCTGCAATCATACGATAGCAAGAGCAACAGCACTTAGATTTATATACTGCTTCACAGTGATTTGATTGTGATTGTGATACCTTTGTGTTGTTGTTTTTTTTGCTGGAAATGCCCGTTCAGAAATTCTATTTGATGACCACCATTCGCTTAGCAATTTTCGTAAAAATGATTTTAAAACTGGATCTGAGCTGACGTAGAATTGTAACATCTTAACGATGGGAAATTCTGGTCCTATTTGTGGCCATAAGTCAAGGAACTGCATTTGCTCAAATCTAATGTCATCAATCACATTCAATCAGAAACAGGAAGTCATGAACCAGGTTCACCAGCACCAAGATTCTTTAGTACTCACAGCCAAAATAGCAAGAAATGATGAGGATCAGGATGAATATAAGTAGGAAGGTGATGTCAGTTTCCAGGATACCTGAAGAAAAAAAAAACAGGAAGAAGAAAAAAAGGATAGATTAAAACAGTGGTCTCCAAACTTGGCAACTTTAAGACTTGTGGACTTCAACTCCTGAGGAATTCTGGGAGTTGAAGTTTACAAGTCTTAAAGTTGCCAAGTTTGGGGACCCCTTCACTAAAAGGACATCTGCCATTAGAGAGGTATTCTTCAAACTTGTCCCAAAGGTGCTTTTTTCAAGAGGCAACTGGACTTTCTAATTTTTCTTTGAAGATGCTTCACTTCTCATCCAAGGAGCTTCTTCAGTTCTGGGTGAGAAGCTTCTTTGTGTATTTATGTACCCATGAGAGAATCCTCTGTGTGTGTGTGTATATGTAATGTTGTTGTTCCTTTTTCCTTTTTCTGTCTGCTCCTACCGCTCTACATTTTTTCTTTATTCTGCTAAAAAAAAGACTCTACTGACACTCAAAAGTTAAAAATACCAGGATATTTGTAATGGTTTGCTCTCTTTCTCAGGCAGAACTGGGGTTTGTTTGGGTTGGCTATAATGTTCAACATCCATCTTTGTCCAGATGCCATAAACGATCCGTCTCTTACTGGTCCCATCTACCCGACCCGTTAGAGCAGGGAGGCAGGAAATGTTACAGGTCCCAACCCCAGGGAGATACACCTGGTGGGACCCAGAAGAAGGGCCTTCTCTGTGGTGGCTCCCTCTCTCTGGAACATCACCCCGCCCCCCAGGAGATTAGGACGGCCTCCTCTCTAATACTCTTCCGTAAGGTACTGAAGACCTGGTTCTGCCAGCAGGCCCGGGGAACCCAGAGCGGGATGGAGCCCATCCAATGGCTCGTGAGATCTGCTGTGGTTGGTCCAGGGAGAGTAGGTGGGAATTGGGGGTTGATTTTGTTCTATTGTACTTTATTCACTGATTTGATTCCTTTTTCTTAGTTTTTATTGTTTTAAATGTGGTTTTATATTCTGTAAGCTGCCTCGAGTCGCCATGGGTGAATAGGCAGCAATAACAATTCAATCAATCAATCAATCAATCAATAAGTTAAGTAAGTAAGTAGATAGGTAGGTAGGTAGGTAGGTCGGTCGATCGATCGATCGATCGATCGATCGATAGATAGATAGATAGATAGATAGATAGATAGATAGATAAGGCAGGGCAGAAAGTTCCCACGCTTAAGCTGAGGTTGTTCTGACCCAGGCTTCGTAAACTAATTATTCACAAGCTTGTTTTAAAAACAAAACCTATTTTATTGCAACACTGGGAATTGTTTTCATTCCCAGCCGGAATTAAACTCAAACAGTCCCCCAAGATAAGCACATGCCTATCAGTGCTGTGGAATGCTGCCAAAAACAGAAGCATTCAAATTAATTATAATAGTACCAGAAAAAAAATGACCAGAATACGCAGAGCTTCAAAAAGGACTCAGAATCTATCGAACTGCTTTGCTTCCTGCAAAGCTTTCATCATCTTGGCCTGACTTTTTTTTAACTCTTGCAGGGGTTGCAGGGGATTCTGGGATATTCCCCCTGCGGGCTGCTGGAAGGGGAACCGTACGGAGCTACCGAAAATCTTACCAAATTCATCCGCGGAAAAATGACGTGTCCAGAACGATTTGCCGTTCGTCAAAATCATCTCGTATTCCAGTTCCAAGCCGTCGCCCTGTCCAAGAGAAGGGGCTGATCATCAGCAGAGAACCTTAATGCAGGGGTGTCAAACTCGATTTCATTGAGGGCCGCATCAGGGCTGTGTCTGACCTTGTGGGTGGCAAGTTGGACGTGGCTGGGGTGGATGTGGCCATGGTAGGTGTGGCCAGCTTGACGTCAGTCGGGTCGGGGGCACCTGTGGTGGCCAAGTGGTAAGGCAGGACTTCCCTCAGACCCTCCCTCACTCTCATTATATCCTTTTTTCCTGCCCTCTTCATTCTCCTTTCTCTCTCCTTCCTTCCTTCCTTCCTTCCTTCCCTCTGCATTCTCCTTTTTCTCTCCTTCCTTCCTTTTTCCTTTCCTCTTCATTTTCCTTTCTCTCTCCTTCCTTTCCTTCCTTCCTTCCTCCCCTCTTCATTCTCCTTTCTCTTTCCTTCCTTCCTTCTTCCTTCCCTCTTCATTTTCCTTTCTCTCTCCTCCCTCCCTTCCTCCCTCCCTTCCTTCCTTCCTTCCCTCTTCCTTCTCCTTTCTCTTTCCTTCCTTCCTTTTTTCTTCCCTCTTCGTTTTCCTTTCTCCTTCCCTCTTTGTTTTCCTTTTTCCTTCCTTCCTTCCTTCTTTCTTTTTCCTTCCCTCTTAATTCTCCCCTTTCCTTCCTTCCTCCTTTTTTCTTCCTTCTTCTCCTCTCTCCTTCTTTCTTTCTTTCCTTCCTTCCTTCTTTTCCCTTCCCTCTTCATTCTCCTTTCTCCTTCCTTCCTTCCTTCTTTTCCTTCCTTCCTGGTGCTTTTCTCTTCCCTCTTCATTCTCCTTTCGTCTTTCCTTCTTTTTCCTTCCTTGCTGTCTTCCCATCTTCCCTTCTTTTTCTTCGTCTTTCCTTTTCTCCTTTCCTATCCCTTCTTGCATGCTCAAATGCAAAAGGGGAAACATGTCACCCTTTTTTTTGTTTTGTTCTGAGTTTTAATTTTGCTAGCCTCTGCCAGTGAAAATGGAGGTTTGGGGGGGGGGTGAGAGGGTGGCACATTTTTGGCAGGGACAGCCTCTTACAACCCTCTACAAACAGAGCTTGGGGGGGGGAGGCATACACACACAAACACACACACACACACACACACACACACACACACACACCAGCTCCGTTTTCACTGGCAGAGGCACTGCGGGCCGGTCCTTTGCTGTTTGTAGCGCAGCCCTGTGGGCCAGATCTAAACACCCCGCCAGCCAAATCCGGCCCTGGGGCCTTGAGTTTGAACTTTGACACCCCTGCCTCAATGGGAAGGGATCGGGGCTGAGGGAGGGGAGGGGTACAGGCAGACTCACCCCACATTTGCTGAGAACCACATACCACCAGCGTTCCCGGACGGATCGAAAACTTCTCCCGCTTGTGCAACTCAGATACCGGATGGAATTTTCGGTCACCATCTGGATGAGAAAAGGCACAAAAAATATACCTCAAAAGTAGTGACAACTGATCGTTCCGTTTGCATTATCATCCACAGGCAGAGGTCTCCAATCCTGGCAACTTTAAGACTTGCGGACTTCAACTTGAACAAGAATAGCAAGAATGTTCAAGAACAGGTCCAGCCATCTTAAAGCACGCTGGGCTGGGGAATTCTGGGAGTTGAAGTCCA